AGTATAAACAAATCAATAATCACATGTATTATTTTGTGTTTGACTCGTGTTTTAATCTCACTCTTATGAGTTTTCATATGATATTGGCTTAATACTTTTTAATAGTGTAATAATTTATTATTTGGTTTTCAATTGTGTTAGTATCATAGAATCATGGCGTTGGAAGGGGGGCCTCGAAGGCCATCCAGCCCAACCCCCTGCTCAAGGCAGGAATCCCAGTCAAAGCAGATTTGACTACGGGTGGTTCGGTATTCTTTTGAAGTCCTCCAGTGTTCGCCCTCTCTTGAGGCAATGGGTTTCATTGCTGTACTGCTCTAACAGTTAGGAAGTTTTCCCTGAAAATCAACTGAAATCTGGCTTCCTATACCTTAAGCCCATGGCTGCGTGTCCTGCACTCGGGGATGATGTGAGAAGAGATCCTACCCTTTTTCTGCACAACTCCCTATCAAGTCTTTGAAAAGTGCTACCCTGTCTCTCTTCAGTATTTGAATCATATGGTATGCTGGCTTGGATCCTCTAGGAAAAAGATGGCATATAAATGTTTTAAATAAACAAAAATAAATAGACAAATACTATGCTGCTCTAACTCCTTTTCCTGTCGCATCATAAAGTAATTTTTTAAATCTCAAAAGATTGCACACAAATCTGTATGCCTTTTTTAAAAACTGGCTTATTAAAAGTATCATCACACCGTGGATTTTCGATACAGAAGGGGGATTGTACAGGAGTTGCATTCCTTGGCAGCGAGCGGTGTATTTAATAAGTCTTTCTCCCTTTCTGGCGGCTTTGCAATTTTTGCAGGAATGTGGCGGAAGACGTTGCTAGAGCCACGAGTCGCTCGACCTCATGCCAACCCGGTTTTAGCAGCGCCAAACAGAGCTTCTTTTGAGAGTTAAGGTGGCTTTGGTACAGTAAATGCTCGTTTCCAGTTCAAGTGGGACTCAGAAAAGTCACCGTTTTCCACAGCCTGGAGCCAAGAAAAGCATGTCAAGACTGGAGCTTTTGTGTTGGGGTGTGTGTGTGTGTTCGCGCCAATGATGCTGACTTGTTTACCCGAGAGCAGGGGATGGCACACCACGCCACAGCTGGCCGTGAATTCTCCCGGGGCATACAGTTTCTATTCGAGTTGCTTCTCCTATTTTGATAACATCGCTCCTGCAATTTTGTGGCTTTTTTATCTTCGGATAATTGAAGCTCTCTGGAAACGGGGCCATGTCGTCATTTTTTCCCTTGCAGCCCTTTTAGAAACGCATCCCTCCTCCTCCTCCTCTTTCCCCCCTTCTCATACCATCCAGCAAAATCATCCTACCAAGTAACCCTGTGCTGATGATGCTCTGTAGTACAAATGGCAAGCTTTAGATTGCCGCCCACAACAGGTAACTGATATAGTCGGTGTGAAAACCCTGAAAACCAATATTGTCTTTTCCACTCAAAATCTATGCCAACATTTTAGGGTGGTTTTAAAGAGTTTGCTCGTGCAAAACCTGAGTTTTCGTTTCAGTGCCGTACCCTCTCTAGGAAGCTGAGTGTGATATTGCGGTGGCATCATCCTATAGAAACAATGAGAAACGTAGCTCTGAAATGAAACAGGCAACCAGTGATGGAGCGGGGTTCACCAGGAACCCCCATCTGATCTATTCAGTTACTCAGTTGTAGCTGCCATCACAAAACTCAAGAAAAATGCTGTAAAACTTTGGCATGATTTTTTGTGAGGGATCTCAAATTTGGAGGGTTGCCGTTTACAAAGCAAGAGTTTTGGGGAAAATATATATATATTTTTCCCAGCTTCCATCTCAATCAGTGGGGCCTATGCTGTCTTGGTGGACTCTCTCCTCTTGATGGGATCCTTTATCAGCAGCTTTCTGTGCAATTCCCCCTGTCCTTTGATGGTTTTAGCTAAGATAAGCTAAGAAATACGTATGTAGGTTGGATGGTTGAAAAAGTACTGAAGATGTTAGCCTTCTCCTTAATGCACTGGTTTTCGGTAGACTGGGGATGTCTTCATATGGAAGAGCATCTTAAAATACAACCCTTTGTCTCTAACGGTACATTTCCATGAGCTCCATAGCCTGTAATTTTGACACCTAGTTGTGGCAGTTCCTATTGGTACTTTAGTATCTAGAAAGAGCCAGGAATCCAACTTCCTGACAATGAAACATTTTCTCTTGCTTAGTACGTCATTGGCTCACTTAGCTCTCTGTTCCCCTCCCCGAATTCTGGTCCAAACTAGAAGAGAGTTCTTAAATTTTAATTCCAGATTCGGAATGCGCTACCTGACTCGCCTAACTGTATTTCTTGTGGATTTGGGTTTCCTGCAACAAAATTGTGTTTCTGGACGTGTGTGCTCAAAACACGTTCAAAATTGAGACCAGTGGGATTTAGACCTCAGTAACTGAGTGGATTCAAAATGCTTTTGAATTGTGGTGCTGGATGAGGCTCTTGAGAGTCCCTTGGACTGCAAGGAGAACAAACCTATCCATTCTAAAGGAAATCAACCCTGAGTGCTCCCTGGAAGGACAGATCATGAAGCTGAGGCTCCAAGACTTTGGCCATCTCATGGGAAGGGGGGAATCCCTGGAAAAGACCCTGATGTTGGGAAAGTGTGAAGGCAAGAGGAGAAGGGGACGACAGAGGACGAGATGGCTGGACAGTCTCATTGGAGCTACTAACGTGAATTTGACCCAACTCCGGGAGGCAGTGGAAGATAGGAGGGCCTGACGTGCTCTGGTCCATGGGGTCACAAAGAGTTGGACACGACTTAACGACTAAACAACAACAACAACAACAACAACAACAACAACAACAACAAACTGAGTGGAACCAAGAAAAACATCTTTAAATACCTCTGTTACCTTGAGGAGAATACCCAAATGCCGTAGGGCTGGGTAACTTACCATCCTGTTACTTTTGGAACTTTTCCCCTTTGAATAGGCCAACACATCTAATTAAAATCTGTGTATTTTGGAGAAACTGCATGGTTATCTGTTTTGCGCCTTATCCCATGGCCCACATCTCTGGTTTTCCTTCTTTTCCTTATTACTATGGCTTGGAGTATGTTTGAGAGGCAAAACACAGAAAAGCCCAGCTTGGGGGCGGGGGGAGCTCTTGCCACCCTCATCATTTGCCTTCCTTTCCCCTTAGAGAGCAAACTGGGCTAGCCAGGAAAACCCAGTTACAGGGAAGTGGAATTTTGCGATCCCTCCCTCCATACCAAACCCTGCAGTGGAACAGCTGTCTGCCGGTGAGGCAGATGGAGCCCTTATACGAGTGCCAATGTCATCTTGCTAGATGATCCCTGCTAAATAGTGCCATTTCGACAGCGGCAAGAGGTGGGAGGTGTGAGGAATTTTTGCTCCTTCCCTTTCCAAAAAGTGGGGGAAAAAGTCAGCAGGCAAACAAGAGGAAGACTTAAGTCTTTTTCTTTGCCTTAAGTGAAAGAAACGGAACTGGGTTAAAAGCCGCTCGGGCCTCTTGTGGGTCAAACCTGACCCATTGTGGGTCCTGAATTTGGAGTTGTGACCTGCTTGGTTGGACAACAGAAATATTTGTATTGAGGCACATTCAGGGACTGCAAGAAGGGAGAGGATAATGGCTCAGTGGGCTGTTTGTTAAGCTGGCCAGAGAGCTCAGTGGCTTAACAGAGACTTGGGAGTTGGATGCCCCCACTGTGCCTCCTGCAAGAACCTCCAGCCTTGGGCGAGCCGCACAGTCCCAGGGCATCCCCAGAAGAAGGGCATGGAGTATTCTCTACCTGCAAAGCCCTGAAAAGAGTTGCCATAAATCCATGGTCCATCTAACAAGCCTATTCCATTCCTTCTTTCAGGGATGCCTAACCAAATAAGAAAGGGGTCTGGTTGCCAGAACTCAACTTCCAGATCCTCAAGGGAAGTGGCTAGCTTTCTGGGTTAGTTGGGAAATACCGTATTCAAGAGAGCAAAAGGTCAAAAGATTTTAATTGAATGGGGACTTGTGAAAGAACAGGCAGACCTAGGAGGTGGAGCCTCTTTGGGGAAAAGATGTAATTTCTGGATTTCCGACAACAGAACACACAAGCTAACTGCACTCATTTTAGGGCTGGACCGCCCTGCGTCTGTTTCTCGACGATGGGTGGTGTGAATAGATAGAAATGTGCCTTCCCCATAATACTCAATTCCAGGGTCATCCATTAGCATTGACTGGCTGATGCGTCTAGACAGACAAAGATTCAACACCTTGAGCTGTTAACAAATAATTTGAGGTGTGAAATTTCCTGCCAAATATATGATGGGTTTAGTGCTTGGAAATGTTACTTGAGCAGAATTAACCTCCTCTACCCACACCTACCGTCTGCAGTGGGAGGAGAGCTTTGGTGGGTACTGCTAAGTCTAATTAGGGACAGCTTGGGACTCAGGGGCTAGAACAGGGATTTTATTTTTTTACTTTTTGGGGCTACATTTCCCAGCACCCTCACTCACTCTGTCCCTGGAATCCGAGGCAGCGTGTCTCCAAATGCTTAGTGACTGCAGGGAGAGAAGGATTGGGCCTCATTGTGCACTTCTCATCTGAATCTTATTTGTTCTGCTGTAATACAGGGAGCAGGACCGGAGGGCCCTTTGGTCTGATCCAAAAGGGCCATTGGATTAGAAATACACGTGATTCTCTTTTGCTCTTTTCTGTCTATCTAGTATACTTGTTCATGTGTCTTTACAAAGGAAATGTAGTTTTAGAGATTGGAGACCAAATTGTTTGCTGACTTCCCTGGCGCAAGCCAATCAGTGCTGGTTTATGCTGTAAACTTGCAAAACTCTGGCTTAAACTTAATTTTTGGCACTCAGCCCTGTAGAGGAAAGACGTGTCTTGACTAAGCATAGTGAGTCCAGAATCGGCCCAGTGTCCAAATCAACCTTTTAAAAAATCATATTGTTTTTCCTGCACCTGGACACTGTGCAGAAGGATGTGTTCCGTATTTCCAAGAGGCTTCTTGTTCTGTGCATTGGCTCACCTGCATTCTCTTTTTGCAGATCGACAGGACAGAGACAGCGGTAAACAACCTCAACCCTGCCTTCTCCAAGAAGTTCATCATAGATTATCGCTTCGAGGAGGTCCAGAAGCTGAAATTCGCCTTGTTTGATCAAGACAAATCGAGCATGCAGCTGTACGAACATGACTTCCTGGGGGAGTTTTCCTGCACATTAGGAACGGTGAGCCTTTGCTGCACATACTGGGAACTGTCACTCATTGTCTTCCTAGATGTCACCCATGTCACCTGACAAACCAGTACTGTTTTTTTGGGCAGTGGCAGGGAGACAATGTCAGGGCACTGGTGAGGTCAGAGTCAACACATGCCTGGTTGATTTGTACACATTAGGAGTCAGCATCTTGTGTCTTATACATCAGCCAGGGTTCGGGTCACCCCTAGTGGAAGCAGTTGTGGTGTTTTGGTTTTCGTCATCATCATCAGTAGACTCTAAAGTGAAAGAATTAAATACTCCTACTCCGACTCCTCCCCCACTGAAAAATCACAGTCTCAGCAGCTGCTGATTGCTTTTGTGGGTGTGGAGGGACGAATAGCAAATATTCACAGATTTTCATGCCCTTGATGGGAAGGGGTATCTCAGCACAACAATACGCCCCATCAAAAATTGGCCAGCCACTGCGTAACAGAGTTTAAAAGCTTGCACTTTTTTTCCCCATCCGCACCATCATTAGCAAAAATTGGGTCTTGTTACCACCATCCCTATGCTTTGCACAAAATATGAAGTTTTTGGTGCAGAACATGATTTTTTTTGTGTGCAGAATAAAAGGTTCCAGACAAAAAGACATCTCTCTACTTTTATCCTGAAAAAAGGGATGAGCTCCAAAGAAGGCACACAAACTCTCTTATTTGAACCAGAAAGGAGAGACCCTAAAGGATTGTTTCCTCACCTGCCAGAGCAGAACAAGGGAAGGTTGATCAGATAGCTGTTGAAGCAGGCCTGGGATATTTTGACCCTGTGAAATTTAACCATTTCAGATTTGGCAAGCCCTTTTTGTTTGGCTTTATTCTTACTAAATTTTTTTTCTCCAGCTGGTCTTTTTTCAGCTGAGAGGCCTGGGCTGAGCAGCCGGTGAGGAGATTCGGAAAGTGCTGCCTGAATTGTGGATAATTTGGGCACCGGAGTGAAGATTGTCTGACTTGGCCCCTTCATTTCACTTTTGTGTCAGGCGGCTGTCAGCTTATTCAGACTCTTGCAACGCACCTGATTAACTCTGTGGGTGTATTAAAAAAAGCAAGCCTTACTCTTCCAGTGACTCTTTACGACTTCAGGGAGGCAAGCAAACTAGAAAACCAGGGAAGTAATAGCTGGGGAATAATTTCCTTGATGTTAAACACACGCTGGCTAAATACAGCAATTGCAAAGGGAAGCTTGTTCCTCAACGGAGCTGTTCTGGGTTCCATGTCTATTCCTGTTGCCATTTGGAAGGGGAAAGGGTTGTGTTGGCCTCTTTCTCTCTCTTCTCTGCAGAAGATCCTGCAGAAGCTGTGTGTTTCCCACAGCTGCAAAACAGACATGAGCAAGTATGACATTCCATGTCAGTCAAAAGGCCGGCAGACCAATTTCCGCTTAAACGGTGGTGCCTGGCCCTGTCACAAATCCACTGGAAGATGGGTGTTGCATTTCCTTCCCATAACCATTGCCCACCTCCCTGTTTTCTCTTCTTTTTATTTCTTTTATTTCTTTTTTTGTCTTCAGATTGTCTCAAGCAAGAAGATAACGCGGGCGCTCCTCCTGGGAAATGGGAAACCAGCCGGAAAAGGAATGATAACGGTACGGCCTCCTCGTAAAGTCACGGCCTGAAGGAAGCCTTGAATTCTGCAGTTCCGCTCCAATGCGGTCACCTCAGGGCAGTTTCTCCTTCCCTCCTGATGTGTTAAATCACAGCTCCCAGCATCCATGAACTGATTGAGGCAGAAGGCACCAAGTTAAGGGAGATGGAGAAGGCACCAATATCTTAGGATATCCCGCCTTTAATTTAACAGTCTGCTGTATTTTGGCTACAGCCAGTGTGGTGTAATGAATATAGACTAGACCTGGGTTTGAATCCTTACTTGGCTATGGATACGTATAGAAGTGGAGGCTGGAATTGGTAAAACTTCTCTTTAAATATCACCTTGGGTTTATTAGAGTCACTGTAAGTTGATGGCACTTGATATAAAATTTATTTTATCTGCAAGATTCCTTAATTTATTCCTTCCTTCCTCTTGATGTGGGGTGTAAGTCCTGGATTCGTAGTAGAGAGACATGCAATACATTTGGAAGGAGCCTTGAGTGAGGAGGATCATCCTGCTTAGAGCACAGTATTGGAGTTCATGAATTTCTGAATTTGGATCTCTGCAGCTGAGTGTTTCTAGATCTTGGTTTTTGCCATTGATGCTTTGTAGACTTGTCTTTTACCTTCTGTATCTTACAAGAAAGAAGCCTTGGGAAATGGTTCTCGGTCAGAGTGACATTCCTCAGTTGTAAGGAAAAGTCGCTGGCTGGATAGCTCGGTTGCTTAGATATCTGGCTGTGGACCCAGATGTGGGGGCTTCCAGTTCCCCCACCGCTGTGCCTGCTGGGAGGAGATCCAGCCTGGGTGGCCTTGGGCCAGCGGTACATAGTCCCAGAACTGCCCCCCTAGAGGAAGGGAATGATAAGCCACTTCTGTGTATTCTCTACTTGGAAAACCCTGGAAAGGTTTGTCATAAGTCCGAAATGACTTGACGGCACACAGTCATTAGGGCAAAGTGCCGGCTGACATCTCTTCTACTGGAAATGTTGCTTTCCTGCAACAGGCTAGCATCCAGAATGTTTTATGTATTTATTTAAAGAATCTAGATCCCTTTCCACTGCCAGAGTTGTTCCTCCAACCACCTACAGATCCATCGAAAGGAGAGCCTGGGCTGTCGGCCGCACAGCCCCAAAAGGAAGCAACACAAGAGGCACAATGGCTAGAGAAGGGGAAGCCGTAGATATTTATTGCAGCAGGAAAACATGGGTAATAAAAATAACAGGCACAGATGTAAACCTAGTGCAAAGGCCTGTGTGTGCTACAGATTTGCAAAGGGCAACACGAGATGAAATCAGGACCAGAAGCTCGGTTTTTAGGGATGATGGCATGCCGTGTCTGTGCTAAAAGGATGGGACTTATGGCTTAGCAACAGGTATCTTAGCAACCGTTCTTCTCTTGTACACTCATACACACAGTCATGCTTTTTCCATTGCAGACCTACGTGTCTCATTTTGTAAGTCAAAAGAGGCAGTGCTTCTTCTTTTTCCTTCTTCTTTGGTGTCATCTTCTTCTGCTCTCTGTCCACCTGTCTTGTCGACACGACCCACAAAGAGGTGGGTGTCCAGCCTAAAGAAGTGAGATTTGACTCATGAAAGCTTGCAGTTTTGCGATTTTTTTTAGTGGTTCCATAAAGGCATCACCCTGCTCCTGCATGTGTGTAATTCTAAACCACACGTCCTTTTCCTAACTCTGTCTCTTTGTCATCTTTAATTTTAAACTAAGATGGACAAATGATTATGTGCTTGTCAGCTTTCTGGCAGAAGAAGACATTAGCCAGAGAGCTTGCAGGCATGCCGCGTATATGAGATCCGTGGTCTTTAGCCTGCACCATCACATCCTCCAGGCTTCTTGTTGTCGTTTCAACTTATGTACATCCCCACAGTGCTAGAGCATTCTCTGGGTGATTTACAACATAATCATGCAAACAATTACTTGCTTCGTGATAGACTTTGGAGCAGTTGGACATTCTAACCATATTAAAAATAACAGGGAAATGGTGAGCAAACGCAGCATCTCTTAACTGTGTCCCAAAGAGGTAAGCCTCTTTTCAGCATAAATATCGTGACCTAACCTGAAAAATGGCTTCCCTCTTCAGCAGGGAAAACTGTACTAAAAGAAGCTTTTAGAAAAATCCCATCCTGGGTACATGTGTCTTCCCTTATGGAAGCCTGTGTTTTTCTTGGTCAAAGGAAACCAGTTGCCGTGACATCTACGGGGGTGCTGGGAGTTGTAATCAAAAAGGAAACTCTTGCAAACTGTGCTGATTATAGGTTAGGTGTCAAAAGACGAGGTGTGGACTTAGAGGCAACCTTCGGCTGCAGGAGAAAGCTTGGGTCAGAGACCCTCTCTCCCTTTTGCAACATTTTGAAATGATCTACTGTATTTGTTTTACATGTTTTCTTACCTTGTGCCTGCAGCGAGTGGCCTTACTGGCAGTACGAATCTGAAAGTTGTAATTGCTGAAGGTGCTTTTCCAAGCTTGGGAAAAGCTTGCAGATGTGCACTTGAGAATTTCCAGAGCATACAAGAGATTTGGTCACAGATTCCCAACATAACTGTCTAGCCTTTCTAAAGTGAACTGAAATGCCACCGTGGATAATTAATCAGTTGCAATGCTATGATGTATGTCATTATCTGAACTGTTCTGAAGCTATATGGTTTGCTCTGGTTGCAAATGTGAATCCAGATGTTTCTGGAAGGCTTTGCTCCTTCATTGTGACGAAACTGGATTTACCGAGGCCTGATCGTGTTACCATGTGGTGCGTCTTTGAGTGATATTCAGCTAAATGACAGGATTAGTTTTAAGGCCGTGTTTTCAGCCTGGGTCTAGAGGTAATGGATACAGATGGACACATAGATATAGAGGCAGTAATAGATATAAATATAGATCCATGCACATTGAAAGCCAACTTGTAAGCCAAGAAATTAGGTTAAAAACCTTTCTCTCCGGCATGTTAGTGTTTTGCATGTACAGGCAACTTACCCTGTGCTATTATATGGAAAAATACCCTCTACTTTCCCCCCTCCAGCTTCTTTCAAAGGCAGGTGATCCAAATCCCATTGTCTGGCATAAAGGGGATTTTTAACAAATGTTCTCACTGCATTATTTTTCCAGGTCTCCTAACCTGGGACCAGCCCACCCAAGAAGCTATTTGCCCATTTAGTAGAGAAAACTTTGGTCAGTACGCATCGTCTCCTTTATAGGACAAGCAGTGTGTAGGAAAGGGGACATTTGCGTTGGTAAAATAGGACGTGGGGAAGGATAGAAGCGTAGCGCACAAAAGGTTGGGAGTTTGAATCCTCACCGTATCTCCTTGATGGGGGCTCAAGCTGATGATCCATAGGGCCCCTTCCAGCTCTGCAATTCTAAGTTTCTAAGAAAAGTGACTTTTTAAAGCGTTCATGCAGCAAGAACAGCAGAATCCTGTGCCACTTAAGAGTCTAATAAGCTTTCGTTTTGCAGAGCGAGGCCCTTTTTTGTATGTACACTCCAGAAATTGACATCAAATGAACCTCCTTGGTCTTTAAGCTCCTACGTGGCTCCTGGTTCTTCTTTCTGGGACGGACAGCAGGCAGGAAACTATTTGGGCTCCGACTCTCGGAATCTGGGGTTTGTAGTGGAATCCAAGTAACTTTTTCCCCAGCTTAGCCCAGAGGTGAGAGCCCATCATTCTAGCTAGCTTTGTCTTGCACTATGAAGGATGGGAACCCCCATGCGAACAGAGTCAGACCTGGGGGAAGCCGTGAGAAGACCAGGTTCTGTCCGACTGATTTTGAGAGTCACAACACCCTGAGTCGCACGGCTGCTTTGCTCTCTGTTTTCCAGTCTCTGGGATGTGTGTTGCACTGGGGGGGGGGGAAGCTGGCAGGAAATAGGCAGTGACTCTCTTTTCTTGGGTCATCTCCACCAGCAAATGCTGCTCTGTGACTCACTGCTTTTTTAAAAAAATTCAAATTGTTGTGGAAAGCAAACATTGGCTAAAAGGGAAAAGCTATTTTCAGCTGCTGTTCAGTATCATTTTTTCCCCCTCCCGGGGCTGAATAGGGGAATTGTGGGGAGGAGAAGGGGATGCGATTGCACACCACCGAGGACACTGAGACGAAAAGAAAGAAACTCAAAACAAAACAACCCCTCCAGGAATATCTTTGAAGACTCAAAAAAAAAAAAAAGTCACTCAAAACTTGGCTCAGGCTTGGGTGGGCTCGCTCTTCAAATGCTATTATTTGGACAGAAGCTATCATGGGGTGGACTCACAGAATCGTAAAATAAGCCACCCAGAGTAGTGAAGTGCCCACTAAACGGATGGAGTACGAGTTTAAACAATCAGTCAATCAAATAATGGAACTGGAAGGGGACCATGAGGCCATCAAGACCAACCCCCTGCTCAAGGCAGGAATCCAAATCAAAGCAGATGGGAGAGTCCTTTTATTTTCTCTTGCATGCCTCCAGCCTTGGAGTGCTCACCACCTCCTCCTGGAGGAATGGGCTCCATTGTCGTACTGCTCTAACAGTTAAGAGGTTTTTCCTGATATTCAGCCGAAATCTGGCTTCCTGTAACTTGAGCCCATTATTATGTGTCCTGGGCTCTGGATTGATTGAGGCAGGTCCTTCTTTTCTCAGATTCAGGTGGGTTGGAAGAATGGTCCTTCCCCCCCGCCCATAAATCTGGAGCTGCTCAATCCAGTCTTCCATCCATGCTATAATTTTTTTCCTGAATGTAATCCTACCTACCTACCTACCTACCTACCTACCTACCTACCTACCTACCTACCTACCTACCTACCTACCTACCTACCTACCTACCTACCTACCTACCTACCTACCTACCTACCTACCTACCTACCTACCTACCTACCTACCTTCCTTCCTTCCTTCCTACCTACCTACCTACCTACCTACCTACCTACCTACCTACCTACCTACCTACCTACCTACCTACCTACCTACCTACCTACCTAATTGTAAATCTAAATAAAAATTGTGCAAGATAATCCTGTAGTCTAGTGGTCCCCAACCTTGGTTAACCCAGATGTTCTTGGACTGCAACTCCCAGAATCCCCAGTCAGCACAGCTGGTGGTGAAGGCTTCTGGCAATGGCAGTCCAGGAACCCTCTGGATTAACTAAGGTTGAGAACCACTTGTGTAGTAGAAAGGAAAAGGAAGGGATCAGTTCGAGTTTCCAGTAACATCACGTAGACCTGTTAAACTAGTCCAAATCACTGACCGATGGAGCCGTAGTTCTAGCTTGCTCAAACAGAAACAGGGGTTGTGGTGGCATCTTAAAGACTTAAGCCACTTTATTTAGGTCTGAGCTTTCCTAGGCTTGGAAAGTAGTCCATGAAAGCTTACGCCATATTAATTTTATAATCCTCATGGTTTAACCATCGTAACGCTGCGTGTTGTTTCCCTATAGTCTTATTGACTTAACGTTCCTGTACCCGTCGTATTTGCATTTCACCCGAAAGTCCTCTGACAAGCCATCAAGTGAGCAAATAGTGGGAAGAGAAAGCAGGGATGGAAAAACTTAACATGAAATGTCTCAGAAACATGCCAAGAAAAGGCACGATGCTTAAATTGAAGGCAGCATGCAAATTAAGGACTTTTGTAAGCTGAACAAAGCGTGCAAATTAAGTCGGTTTTCTCAGTAAGTTTCTTATTCTGCTTGACTGATTTTATATCTGACAACTGTGCATGAGATGCATGATTCATTTCTTACGTTTCTATCTCACCTTGCTTCCAAAGGCAGCATATGTAGTTCTTCTTTCTTCCATTTTATCTACTCCCTAGACCTGTGGAATAAGTTGCATCAAAAGTCCCATTGACTTTCTTGGCTGAATATATGTTTGAAACGGGGTCTTCTGAGCACGAGAGTCTGCGCTGCTGATAGCCTGTCATTTGAAAAGCGAGTTCCTTAAGCAATAAAAACATCTAACTGTCACAGCAGGAATTTTTGGCGCCTCTTCTAGTTGGCGAATATCTTTAGTTTGGTCATGGGGAAGTAACTACAAGCGTTTTTTGCATGTGTAGTTCCTCAGTCACAGAGAACGGCTTGAATTGTGTTTGGGCAATGTTAGTGGGTTTTAGCTTCTAATGATGGGCTACCATAACCCACAGTTTGGCCTCCTGTCTTCTAATCCATGCACTATATGGCTCCGTTTAATAAATCTTTCTGCAGGGTTATGAAGCTCTGTTGTGCACCTGGGTTGCTGCGGCTTCCAGAATTTCCCAGATGAATACCAGGGCATGTGATATTGATTCCAGCTTTTGATGGACTTTAGGGATCCTGGTGGGGGGTGATTTGCCTAGATCGCTTTGTGGGGGGGGGGGTTGCAAAAGAGAACACAGAGAAATCTTAGTAACAAAACCACAAAACCTTAAGACTTTTGAAAGCAGCAGGGGCATCAAAACACACACCGTATGTGTGTAAATAGTGCCTCGCTGAAAATGAAGCAGTGGCTCTTTTTATACTTCTGAATGGAATTTTCCAAAGTGCAAGCTGAGTATCCTCAACAGGAATGTAGTAATTTATAGACAACCATATATAACTATAAGGAGTGTTTCACTGTCTTTATTTATCATAGCGCCTTTGTCTGACCTGACCCAGCACCACCACTTTCCTGGATTCCTTCTCGTGCTCCACTAGGTCGTGATTCCCACACAGCTGCCATTCCCCCATTCACTCACGTCTCCCTCTGGGCCCCACCGGGACCACCTTTCCCCATGGGAGGCTGAACCATAGAACGAACGTGTTGCTCCTTCGCCTTGGAGAGGGCAGGTGACTAGAGAGCAGTGAGGAGAAGCGAGAAGAGCAGAGGAGATTGGCTGAGGCCACCTCTGACTCTTGTTGGCTGCCCTGATGCTGCTGCATCCTAGCATAGCCCCTGGGGACCCTGCCTGCTTCCCGTATCACCAACTCTTGTCCATGCTTTGCTGGGTAATAGACCAGAAAATGGGAGGCCGGATGTCCTCCTCTGCTTTTCCCAGGCTTTTTGTCATGGTGGTAATGTGATTTCTCCTTTATCATCTAGACCTCAAACAGGAGTATATATTCTCTTCCTTTCACATGCTTTTGCAGTTGGTACATAGATAGACCAACATATTGGAAAGATAAGTATGTTCTCAGATATATCAACATACTGCAAAGGATATGGCTTGGAAACCCTATTTGGCCTTATTTTCATTGCTACTACAGCAACCTTGGCATGTTTTAGACCACAAACAGACATCATTTCTGTTGAGGCTTCCTAAGAAAGACTGACATTTCCCCTTGTTTTTTCCAGATAGCAGCTCAAGAGCTTTCAGACAACCGGGTCATCACGCTGAGCATGGCTGGGAGGAAACTGGATAAGAAGGTCTGTGTTCGAGTTCTGTTTTCCCTTTCCCTGGTCTGCTTGTTGTTATGTGCCATAAAGTAGCTTCTGGCTCTTGGTGAGCCTAGCAATGAACAATCTCCAAAATGTCATCATCGATAGCCCTGTGCAGCTCTTGTAAATTCAACCCAGTGGTTTCCTTTAGGGCATTGATCCATCCCGTATTTGGTCTTCCTCTTTTCCCGCTGCCTTCCGCCTTTCCAGAATGACATTTCAAACAAATTTATTTTCCTTCCTGTCAACCTTCTTCGCTGTCCTACCAGTTGAAATGGTACCAGAAAGGGGTGGTGTACTCCTTTTTTTGGCCTGCAACCTCAATGATTATTTAAGAGTATTTATTCATAGTGGTCTCATCCTAAAGCAACACACAAAACATGCATTTATAAGATTGTGCCCGACCAGTGCGGTCAAGTGGGGGTGCCGCCCCCACCTTAAGGCTCAGGCGGCACTCACCTACACCGCCCCTGCCTCCCTCTTTAGCTGATGCCAGGGGTGGGATGGGAACCCTAATGTGGGTGAGAGGAAAAGAGGGAGAAAGAAAATAGAAAATGGACAAGGCTGTTCCCCCTGCTTTAGGACAAGACGCAGAGGAAAGCAGCCATGGGGGGGGGGACAGTTATAATTTGGGAACAACGTGTGTTTTCCCACTTCTTAGCCCTGTGGGGGAGCAAATAAGTGGCCTGAGAGGTGGTGGAGATAAGACAGTGTCTGAATGAACGAATGCTTTATTTCTCTGGGTTCATGCGCTAAACCTGACCGGCCTATAGTTTGCCTGCACAAATATGTGCGTGTGTGAATGCCCACTCCGCCACCTCCAGTTCCGACTCTCGTTCCTGGTTCCCCCTCCTTTGGTGGCAGCAACGTCCACCGTGTCAAACACGGAAGGGTACAGGGTGGCACTGACTTCAAAACACTGCGGGAAAGCCAGTGTAAACTCTGTGTTCGTCTGCAAACAAATCAAGAGCAATAAGGACTACCTTTGAATCCCATCTTAAACACGGAGAGCCAGAAGAAGCAGTTAAGGCTTGGCTGCCTGCAGGATGGGAGCCACCCTGCCTTCCGTTTGGGAGGAAGTGCCGTGACTGAGCCATTGCTAGAAAAGAAAACACATGCACTATGCATGCACCCATCTAGTATTTTGGGGCACCACCCCTTGCCTGCCGGTGATGGCGTCCTGAAAGTCGTAGTCTGAGAAAAAGTGACTTTTTCCCCTGTCACTTTTCCCATCTTTGATTTGTACGTATGCAGTACCTAATCAAACGATGCGGTACCCTTTATGTCTCCTACGAAATTAAGAGCTCCTGATTCATGTTGTTGCCCTAAAATCCGCCCGCTCTCCCATAAGCCAGCTTCCCTTTGGATTTTCAGCTTCAAAGAACTGGCTGTTAAAAAGTACCTTATTCACCAAGGAAACTCAGATTCGACACAGAAGAAACAACAAGCCGTGGTGAGCGGGGCCAGGAGGGTGGGAGGGAAGGCAGGCTCTTAACGCGCAAAAATATTTTAATTCAGAATATTAATATACGGTTCCCTGTTGCCCTTGGGGGTTTGTCTGTCTGTCTCTCCGATTCGGTCTCTTTCCAGCCAGAAATCCACGAGGCTTGTTCAAATTGTTCAATTGTTGGTCGCTCCCACAAGATCTGTGGCAATGGCGAGCTAATTTGACGGAAAGATTTCAAATCAATCGTTGGTTCGTTCATGCAGAAATGCACCACATGGCGCAGTTTGGGGGTAGATTTTGGGTGGATCTCTGAGCAAGCCCCCGGCTCTTTTATGGACGCTTCTGACAACCTGCCCTTTTCTGAGAAGCTCCATCTTTGTTCATGCAAAGGGGGGGGGACTTGAGTCATGGGATTTGAGGTCAAGTTGGACTTAAACTACACTGGCAACTCAACGCAGATTCAACTTGGTTGCTTCCCCCACCCCCACCCCCAAATGACTGCCAGGGGTAGATGGGAACTCGGACATGACCCGCGACTTGGAAGTAGATCTGGGAACTTCGTCTTCATATCCTGGGGGATTTCAAATACGAAATTTGGAACCAGAGAGGCCATTCCCGCCCCCCGCAGAACCGGTCCGGTCCACTCTCTTGGCTCCTCGTTGTCCGCTTGCCCAACATGGCATGGCACCCATCGGGGACATAGCCAGTGCCGACGCCTCCCCAGCCTGTTTCCACCGCCGACCATTGCACAGTGCAGCAGGGAGACACCTCTTGCCACTTCTTGGCCAGAAGAGTGATCAGTGGGGAGAGGCAGGTCAGGGCAGACGCGGCGGCATCCACGATGGGCGCCACGTTGTCGCTGTTGGATGTGTACGGTGAGGAGTGGACCGGGGGGGGGCTTGGGGGCAGGAATGAGCGCATGAGATGCTGAGCTTCGTATTCGTATCCCAAGGGATATAAATATGAACCTCCCGCGTCTGCTCGGAACCCACCCACACCGCCCCTTTTTTTTCTGGGGTGAAAAGCTTACTTTTAATAGGGCCTCCACCAAAGACTCAGGAGTCAGACTCAAAGACTCACCAGCGTCCAAGGGTACCAACTTCACAGCGAGAGTATTCATATGAGTCTGGGGAAAAAGAAGCGAGCCCTGAATTCCTACCACTCAACTCTTACTCATGTTTGACCAGATTTTATAGACCTTCGCTTCTTCTTCATTGGAGTCCCAGCCAAGAGGGAGCACATCCAGCGTCATTACTTGCCTCTGATTTCCACTTACAGGGCGACGCTGCTTCTTCTCCTAATGGTCCGTTGTGTGGCTGTGTGAGACCACTAAGGATACATCATGTTGTAACCACTGCTTGCGCCTCTCTCTTTTCTTTCTTTCCTCTCTGCTTTGCAGGACCTGTTTGGAAAATCAGATCCGTTTTTGGAGTTTTACAAACCAGGGGATGATGGAAAGTGGATGCTGGTCCATAGGACAGAGGTAAGCAGAGTGCTTGGTGAGCGTCGGTTATTCCTTCATGCAAATGATGTTGTTATTAATTGTTTGTGGCAAGAAAACCCACTTATACTTCTCTTTGATTTTAAATAACCTAAGTTTTCCTACTTCCATTTTAAATTGCAAATGGGTGGTTTCTGTTTGTTAAAAAGAGGTTGGGTGATGCTAAATGAGGGAGAGGAAGGGTGTGTGTGTGTGTGTTTGAAAAATCAAAACGTGGACAAGGGGATGGTGCTGAAACTTTTGGGAAGCCACCATTCTCTCATGCTCAGGCCAGTCTGCCTTAAGAGAAAGGTCTTGGCCTGCTTGCAGAAGGACAGCAAAGAGGGGGCCAAGACTGGCCTCCAGTGGGAGGGAGTTCCAGAGTCTCTGGGAGCAGCCACAGAGAAGGCCCTCTCCCATGTTTCCCCACCAAACATGGCTGTGAGGAGGGGGGACTAAGAGGAAGGCTTTTCCTGGGTCTCTCAACACCAGAGACACAGCCTTTGGGATAGCTTGTACCCAAGGCAGTTCCATTCAGCTTTGCACACTGGGCTGCTGAGGTCCCCCGTCTTACGTCTGAATCCGTCACCCATCTAGTAGTTTTCCCCCTGAAAAACTTGAAAAACGGTAAAGCCTGAAAAGATTGGGATGGCCAAGCAGCTTTATGGAAATTGGAGGAGATGCCTGCCACCAGGATGTGGCCCACGGATGAGGGGTCTGAGTATTAAGCTGTGCACAACTGTCGTCACTCTGAGCTCTGCCTTAAGATCCAGTGCCTTGGTTGTTCATGAGTGTACACCCAAGGTGGGCTTGAAATGTCGGCTGGTTCATGGCTTGGAAGGCCCTCATCCTTCATCCTGTGACACCACAAAGGAGAATCGCCCCCGCCTTCTTCATATAGGTTGGTGTGAGTGCTGGCACATCCGGAAAGTGTGAAATTTTCAATGCAGGCTTGAAAGTGTGTGTCCTCCAGACACCCACAGATGGTTCCAGCGTCTGGCGGTTCTCGACAGTCTCATTGTTACACAGTTCAGACAATTTGTGTGTGTGTGTGTGTGTGTGTGTATGTGTCTCCTTGATCTGTCCAACCCCATGTAGGAAGTGTTTCTAGTCATTTTAACAAACACTCCACGCTCTGACTCTAGGCTTATGGGAACAATGTTGTGCGTGTTTTCCTAAAAGAGGCTGGAAATGCACCATATTGGAGGATGACAGCCGGAATTTTACAGCTAGCGCTGACACCAGCCATGATGGCTGGAGCACTTGTTTTAAAAAAAGAAGTTTTCTGCACTTTTTGTTTTAAAAAAAAAATCTGCCTATCACAGAGTTGCAAAAGGGACTGGAAAAAAAATAGGAAAAATGAAAGCAAATTCGTGTTCCACTTTGCAGACTAATGAACAGGTTTATTTCGGTGCAAATTCTTGTGAACTGCAATCCACTTCCTCAGATAAAGCATTGCAATCAGCTCTTGGAATTATTATTTTTTAAAAGAAGACTTATTTATCCGTTCAAAAATATTTCTTTCAAAAGAAAACCATCCCTGAGGGGTTGATGTTCGTTACTGTTGCCTGTTGCTTTGTTCTAGAACAATCAGGGGAGCAACTACAGTATAAGAAAAGTACATGCAGTTCTATCCCCAGTTGGTAGATCATCATCTTTGGAAGGCTTTCTTGTGTGGTTTTCAGTTTTCATGGGAGAGATGATGAGCTTATATTTCGCAAGGCTGTCTTGACTTGGCGTAGAAGGTAAAACTTAAATCCATATTAGAAAGTAGTGTGCTTTTTTTAAGTGTTGGTTTTAGTCGGATGCCTGTCCGATTTCTGCTCAGAGGAGAAGGATTCTGATTTTTACCTCAAGGGTCCCACAAGGATGAAGGACGCTGAGGGTTGTGCTTACTGCCTCATGAGGGCAGGGGGGAATTCTTGCCCCGTCTTGCACCCTGTTTTTGACCGGGGTGGCTTTTTTCCAAGACATGAGTTGGAACGAGTCTATTTTTCTCTGAAACTGGAGGTCCCAGGAGACCATTTCCAGTTTTGAACCAAGACGTCCCCCAGGCTTAACACAGGGAAGAGGATGTCTGAAAGCACAGGAAATTGTCCCTAAAATGAAATTGCCCCTAAAAGGGGGCTTTTTTGGGTGGTATTTTGGTGAGAACCAGTGGAGTGGATGATGGGATGTTGAGGGGACCTCGAGGGTCACATTATCCGACTCGCTTCCTGCCCTTTCCCCATATCCCATCATCCCCAGCACCTTTCTCCTCAGCTTGCCTTGCTTCCAGTGACCAAGAGAGAGTGGGAGAAAAGTGTTTGAGGTGAAAAGATTCAAGGGGGCTTGTTTAAGAGAGATTCAGGGTCCGTTGACTTTGGTGTCCATTTGGATGCAAAAAAAGGCAAAATACCGCTCACGTGGTCCCTCTCTCACATGCCTACGTGTCCTCCTTCGTATGTGGGCAGAGGGGCCAAGCGACTGGAAGTGTTTGAGGTGAAAAGATTCAAGGGGGTTTGTCTAAGAGAGATTTAAGGTCCGTTGACTTTGGTGTCCGTTCGGATGAAAAAAAAAAAAAAAGGCAAAATACCGCTCACATGGTCCCTCTCTCACATGCCTACTTGTCCTCTGTATGTGGGCAAAGCATGGCTACCCGTGTTATGCCTCGTTTGGTCTCTGGCGCGTGGGCTGGTTGTTGAAAGGAATGCCTTCAAGGCTTCTCCCTCTCTTGCTTTCTCTGTCTCTCGAAACCGCAGGTGATCAAATACACCCTGGACCCTGTGTGGAAGCCGTTCACGGTGCCTTTAATATCTCTTTGCGATGGGGACGTTGAAAAGCAGGTCAAGGTAGGCATAGCCACGGCTTTCCCCCTGTTGGGTTCTCTTGTTCTCCGGGGCTTTTACAAAGGAGAGAGAATGAGAGGAGAAAGAGATTTGAACTAGCACATCTAATCTTGAGAGCTATTCCATGGCGTTTTTCTTCCGTTGCCTGGAAGCCGCGACACATGTGATCAAACATCCTTCCAAACTCTCTCCCCCTCTCTCAGTATGATGCCAGAAAAAACCCATAGTCTCCGATTTAAAGTGGTTTAAGTGGATCTACCGAAGAAGTCAATCACGAACTACTTCGGGGAGGGGGGCAAATATTTCATCAGAACATTTTCTGAGAATGGGTATCTGTGCAAAGATTATGACGAATGCCTGTTAAACCGCTCGTCCTCTTTGATTTTTGTCAATCTCAATGCGAGGCTTTCGAAAACCCTCTGAAATTCCTTGGCCCCAGCCAAAACGGAGGCAAACAGCTGTGTTTTCTTCTCCATTAAACTGGCCAACGTTTGCACAAAATGTGTGCCAAATTAGTGCCTGTCGCCCTTGGGAAGAAACCACCCCCCCTCGCCAAGCACAAAAGAGCTGATTGATTGTAAAAAAAAGAAGCAAAAAACCCATCCGCGATTTGTTCCCTTTCCACCCGTCTAATAAGCTCTAGTCCCTGTTTTTCTTACGTTTTGTGAAGTTCGTTAATCTAAGGGCAGAATTAAGAGCTGCAGAGAATCTCACAGCATCTTCATAGGTAAGGAGGACAATGCTGCAACACGAGGACAAGCCATCATTTATATTCCTAGTTTATAAAGGTGAATCTAAAATAAGAATTGCTGGCTGGAAAGTTCAGAGAATTAGGCCTTTGATTTGGGAGTTCGATTCCCCCCCCCACTGTACCTCCTGTGAGTAAAGCCACCCTGGGTAGCCTTGGGCAAGCTGTACAGTACTCTCTACCTGGAAAGGGCCTTTTGGGGGGGGCAGTCATTTCAAGGCTGTGGAACTCCCTTCCACTTGAGGCCAAATTGCCCCCCCTCCCTCCTGACTTCTACCTGCTGCCAACTTCTCTCCAGGCACCTTTTCCACCACTAAACAGGTTACAGGAAAGAGATGTTTACAGGAGATGTTGGACTTCTTTAAAAATATTTTTTTAAAAAATCATATTCATGTGTTTGCTTTTCCTTTTCAACATTTTAAGTGCTTCAAGATAGGTTTTAATACTTTGGGTTTAATTAAATTTTTGATATTGCCATGTAAGAACCTGTCTCCCTGTCAGCTCCCTTGAGCTTCTGAACTGGTATAAACATAAGATATAAATTGTGGGGAGGCGGGGGGGGGGGGGAGAAAAAAAAATAGGAACTCTCCCGAGGGTGGAATAAGAGAAACGGTGTACTTCAGAAGACTGACTGCTTGTGCATCTCTTCCAATTTCTATCAGATTGTCTGCTACGATTACGATAATGATGGGGGCCACGACTTCATTGGGGAATTCCAAACCTCGGCTGCCAAAATGTGTGAATCTCGAGACGGCTTGGCGGTAAGCGCTGTTGAGCAGCCTTGGGTCTGAAGAGGAAGGGGGTTGCATAGCTGTAACGGGTGCATTGGGGGGGGGCTTTGACCTCGTATGCCGCAGGGAGAAGGTGCCAGATTTTGCCACTTGGAAGGGCACAAACCACTCCTTGGGGGTTTCCTGCCAGAAGGGTACAAAACCCATCGACAGGGAATCTCTAGGCGCCAAAACAGCTAGTTAAGACTCTCTGAAAGACACCCAGACAACCCCCCCCATGTGCCCTGCACTAAAATGTATTAAAAGGGCTCTTTGGCCCATTTGGAGCAGGAGAGAGAGAGAGAGAGAGAGATGGAATTTGGGCCTTAAAAAAAAAAACATTTGAGAGGAGAGAGAGAGAGAGAGAGAGATATGGAATTTGGGCCTTAAAAAAAACATTTGAGAAGCTGAGGTGGGCTTAGAGAATTTCCAACTCTCCTGATCTATTCCATGGATTTGCCCATCCCTGCCCTAAGGAGGGAGCAACAGGATGTCCCTGATCATGTCCTCGGCCCAGGAAGTAGCGCTTAGTGCTAATTTGAGGTCCTTCAAAATTGTGGTGGTGGGGGGAGCCTGATAAGGCTGAGGTCTCACGGATTGCCCATGTAGTGACACGAGACACGATGTGATTGATGAAGAGGCGGGAAGAGGGGAATGATCAGATTCAGGCACCCATCTCTTACGTGTTTTTCATCATCATTGTCTTAGAACATCAGAGCCAGGAAGGGACTCTCTGGATCATCCAAGTCCAGCCCCATGGGGGAATTGAACTCCCAACCTCTGGCTCCATGGCCGGAAGGATAAACCGCTTTGCATAACAAAATTTGACAGGAGCCTGACGGGACGTGGGAGGCTGTTGCCGGAGAAGAGGGCTGGGGGTGCTGGAGGTCCCAGCTTGGCCAGCACCGAGAGGGCCTCAGGGTCTCGCTGGCGATGGAGGCTATTCCAGAAAGACAACGCCAGTCACAGCCTTTGGCCCCAGCCAGTCTCAGGTCAGGAGACTGGAAGAACTGGAAGCTGGTTCTGGTTTTGTAAACAAGGAACATGGAGAGGGCATGTCTTACTTAAAAAAAACAATGTGGTCCCTTTTCCCTTTAGATTGCCGTCACAGCACATTTTATGGGACCAGCAACTGCTGTGTGTGGTCCCTCTTCTCCTTCTGATGAATCATAGTTCATTACCATTACTTAGAAAAGTTACTTTTCAGATTAGATCACCCAGGACCCACCCTGGAGTTTTTCTGTTTACGAGTTAGGTCTTTAAGAAAATGCTAATGTGCCTTTAACAAGGACTTTTGCTACCATGTGGCCACCCTTCCCTGCTTTATCCGTGTCCTCTTGTTATTTTCATTTAGGCCAGAGACTTGATCGTTATCAAATGTTTCCACTGACCCTCATTAGCCAGGGTGACTTAGGCTGCCAAGTGAAGATGGGAATTAGTCCAATTAAGGCTCTCGTCTAATCTTGTTTTTTAAAGTCTGTTTCTTGAGAAACAGTGCTTAGTGATCTGCTTTGGTGGCTGACGTGATGGACTCTGGAGGTTTGATTGGGGCTCTTCATGGCTTGCTCTGTTTTCATCAATAAAAAATAATTGCATGCCGTTTGAAAAACCTGGAGTGGGTTAAAGTGGCCGCCTGACACTGGAGTCACCCATCTCCACGTAGCTTGAATGAAATGAACAGCATGGATTGATCTGTGAACTGTTCAAATTTTTTACAACCACCATTCATAATGGTTATGTGCCGAATTCAAAGCTCTTTGGAGCTACAAATACAATGGTTCTCTTTTCTCCAATACATGGATGCTTTTTGGGTTGTTCCTCCCATCCCTGATGTTCTCTTGCTGGCAAGGGAAGAGTCTTTGAGAGAGACAATCAGGGTTTTTCTACATAAAAGCCGTGAAAATAAAATGTGTGCACGCCTCTGTTTATCTAAGGAGTAATCAACATCTGTCTGTCTGTCTCCACCCCAACCAAGCCCAGCTGTGTTTATCTTCTGTTTCCATTATTCTTTTCTATCCGGTATTGAGAGTTTTTAAATGTAGTTACCTGCAACAGCTCCATTAGGCACAGAAGATGGAAAAGGGAACGCTTCTGTGTTTTCCTACCACTCCCAGTTCTGTTGTCTGGATCAAGGTGGGGGGAAAAATCAATGATTTTTTTAAAAATTCCTTTAAAACAGGTAGAATTTGAATGCATAAACCCCAAAAAGCAGAAGAAGAAACGGAATTACAAGAACTCGGGCATCATCATTGTGAAGTCCTGCAAAGTGAGTGTCTTACATACCAATAAAGTTCAATACTTCCTGGCCCTCTTCACTCCTCATCTTTTTTGCGAAAACATAAACTTCCTTTTTCTTTCATTTTTTTGGGTGGGGTGGGCGAGTGCAATATCAAATGCTCCCTCCTCCTTTTTCTTGAGGAGGCTCAAACTCACACCTCAGGACAGAGTGACCAGAATTTGCCTCAGGTGTCAAAAGAGGAGTAGATTTTTTTTTAAAGTAAAAGCTCAGTTTTAATGCAAAACATTGTTAAACCCACCGGCTGGAATCCTGTGGCCTTAAGCCTGGCCTTAAGTGCAGTGGAGTTAATTGCAGTGGCCAAACTAAGCACCAGTTGCATTCCTTATGGTGCATCAGTTGCTAATGCCATTATGGGTCATTACTGTAGTTTTGAAAAGTAACTCTTTTGTGCCTTAGTTACAAAAAGTAACTTGTGACAAGTAACTGCTTTACCTTTAAGTCAATACTTCCCATCTAATCCATAAGGCTAAATCAAAACGTTGGTCCAGGTCTTCTTGTTTCATTAGCTGTGACGTATGATAGACAACAGAAGATTTGGTTTATTAAGGAGGCAGAAAACTAAAAGTAGCTTCTAACGTCGAGTGTTGGGTTCTGCCACTTGCCCAGATTCTGGAATTCATGTAGAATCAGTCTTGTGTTAGAAAGTAATTGTTTCCTCTCTTTTGCCTCCTTTCCTCCCCCCAACCCTTTACATTTCTTTTTAAGATCACCAGAGATTTCTCCTTCCTTGATTATATCCTCGGAGGTTGCCAGTTAATGTTTACGGTAAGTATTTGACCTAAGCAAGCGTCAAGATGCTTGCTTAGGTCAACCCGGCAGAAATAAGCTCCCTTTACCCACTCAACCCGGGAAACGTGGTCCAGGGGTCTGCCTTGGTGAATATTTTGTGGTGGGAGGAGACCTGAGACAAAATACAGCACCCCAGTTCACTGGCCATGTGACGGGCAGGTGGCTGAAGCTGTACGCAAGGTGTTGAGGTAGCAAGGGGTCATGGGTGGAGGTGGGGAAGTCCCCTGAATCGCCCCCACGCCCCTGGCATCTTTGAAGATCATTGCAGATTTACCTGAGTATCTATGTACCCCATTTAGATGTTCATGCATCATGTGTGAAGTCTAACATGTTGCCAGCGATGGGGATGTTTCTCAGATGGACTCCTACAAAAGCAGATGAGTGCCTGCATGCATCATGTGTGAAGTCTAACATGTTGGGGATGTTTCTCAGATGGATTCCTATGAAAGCAGATGAGTGCCTTTCCAGGTGCCTCTGATATTTGATGGGTGCCTTGCCCATTGGCATGACACTGTATTCATTTCAGTAAGATTAAATTGAGGAATTGCAGTTACATTTTAAGTCGTCTTCTTGTTGTTACGTGCTCTCAAGCCACCTCTGACTCATGGCGGCCCCTAGGAATGAGCCATCTCCAACAGGCATGGTCCTCAACAGCTCTGCTCAGATCTTGTAAACCCAAGCCTGTGGCTTCCTTTAGGGGAGTCGGTCCATCTCACGTTGGGTCTTCCTCTTTCCCTGCTTGCCTTCCACCTTTCCCACCAGGTTTGTCTTTTCTAAAGAATCCTTTGTTCTCATGATGTACCCTAAGTATGTATGTTCGGCGATAAAAAAATACAGGAGTGTAGATGTTCTTGGCCTTGATCCCTAGTGACACATCCTTACACTTGAAGATCTTTTCTAACTCCCTCATTGCTGCATTTCCTAGTCTACCATCAGGTTAAAACTTGGGTGTCTGTGTCTTAGATGCCATAAGAGAGGTTATTTTTCATTTATGCTGGTGTATCTGTGGGTTTCATGTTTCAGAACCTTTAGACCCAGTTGCCCTGCAACCCCCCTTCCACCATCATCCACTCACTTGTTGTTTTTTAAGCAGTCTATTGCGCAAGATTTCTGTGCCAGAGAACACAAATGGAGTACTTCTAAATATTTTCGTTTCTTGTTTGGGTCTAAAGTAGCAGGGGAGAGGAAAGGAGGAAGAGTCACCATAGAAACAGGAATGAGTATAGCATGCTTTAGATGCAACTGGATGATTGCCTCAATCAGACAAGCAGGAGATGGTAAATCTGTCCGCCAAATCATGAAGTACTAAGAGCTGGAGTTGTCTATCCAAGTCAACTCAACTTGGGGGACCTGGAGAAAACTGAGGATTTCTTCTTCTTCTTCAAAAAACAGCCCTACCTCTCTGGTGTAGGAGAAAATGTCCAATCAGGATCGCTTTCCTCTTTCTTTGCAGGTCGGGATTGACTTCACAGCATCCAACGGGAATCCTCGGGACCCCACGTCCTTGCACTACATCAACCCCATGGGAACCAACGAATACCTTTCAGCTCTCTGGGCGGTGGGGCAAATCATTCAAGACTATGACACGTGAGTGTCGCTTCTCTGACAGGGAACCAGACCCTTCCCCGAGTGCTGGACAAAAAGCTCATTAATCATCCCCTTGAAGAAGATGGGATCCGTAAGGCCAGTGGTCTCCAACCTTGGGCCTCCAGATGTTCTTGGACTACAGCTCCCAGAAGCCTTCACCGCCACCTCAGCTGGCCAGGATTTCTGGGAGTTGAAGTCCAAGAACACCTGGAGGCCCAAGGTTGGGGACCACTGCGTAAGGCAACTAAGATGAGGCAGCTTCAGTGGGGCTGCCTCCCTTAGGATCTTTTCCAAATGTCTGGCTGGCCACTCTTTAAGAAATTTGACTGGAATGCCTTTTAATTTGAAACGGCAGGCTTCTGCTTAATCTTCTCCTGGTATTCTTCCAACTTCCTCCACCAAATCAGGGGAAATGGTCAATGTAGAGCATAATGCTGTTTATGGAACAGTGCTTCCTTATTTACTTATAATTATGTCATCGTCGTCGTCTTTACTTTATCTTAGAACAATTGCAATTTACTTTATCTTGGAATAATTACTTTATTTTAGTAAACTGTTGTCTTTTAATGATGTAAGCCACCCTGGATCCTTTTTAAGGACACACGCACACACACACACATACACAAGCTAGCAATAAACATGGATATGTATATTCTGTGTGGAATTTGTCATCTGGCACAACTCAACTTCCAGAGATTCTTTTTAATTTTGTAAAAAAAAAAAAGTTTTAAAAATCTCACAAGAGTGGAAAAGTAACTGGAGAGTTACAATTCCTTCCTGATCAGGTCTCAGAGGAGATGGGGGGGCGGGTAGCATATTCTCCTGAACCTTCTCTGATGATAAACAAAAGCCTATCTATTGAAACTTTATTTGACTGTGATTCCATAGTTTGTCTCTCAGGCTGCATTATTGGGAAAAGGGAAGTAAAATTCTGACTAAGTGCATATTTGATTCCTTGTTCATCTTCTTCTTTTTTCTTACTCCCACCTGTTCTTTTGTAGAGATAAAATGTTTCCTGCCTTGGGTTTTGGAGCCCAGCTGCCTCCAGACTGGAAGGTAAACACCACCTCATTGCTCTGTATTCTCTCCCACTTTCAACAGGCTTGTCCTGTTATGAAGTCAAACTTTTGGGTGCTCTTCCTTGATTTCCACTCATGTCCGTTGCCTTGCAGGCATTATGTGCCTCCTGCAGTTTGAATACCGGGAAGAAGGACTGAAAAGTAATGAGGTGTCTTGGTATAAGGAACTGCTGGATAGTTCAGTGCTTGATTTCCCCCACTGGGCCTCCTTGACAAGGACTGGACTCAGCGCTCTATAGATCAGTGGTCTCCAACCTTGGGCCTCCAGATGTTGTTGGACTTCAACTCCCAGAAATTCTGGCCAACAGAGTTTGATGGTGAAAGCTTCTGGGAGTTGTAGTCCAAAAACATCTGGAGGCCCAAGGTTGGGGACCACTGCTCTATAGGGTCCCTTCCAGCTCTGCAGTTCTAACCTGATGAGATGATGATAAGATGATGGGGTGAAAAGGAGTACAGACTGATGGCCCTGATATCAGTGGATCTGGTCTGAGTTTTAGTCTGTCCTGTAAAGCAGTGGTCCCCAACCTTGGGCCTCCAGATGTTCTTGGACTTCAACTCCCAGAAATCCTGGTCAGCAGAGGTGGTGGTGAAGGCTTCTGGGAATTGTAGTCCAAGAACATCTGGAGGCCCAAGGTTGGGGACCATTGCTGTGAAGGAGGTCTCTGAAGTACTGATCCTATTTTGGGGAGGGGTTTCAGTACCATGGACAGCTCATGTAAACATGTGCATACCAAATACTCCATGCTAAGTCCAGGACCTTACAGAGGATCAGTGGCCAAGGTTTGTTGGGTGAAAGCCCAGGCATTTTCTGAGCAGCAAGGGGCCACAACATCATCAACCTTCCTTTCCCCCTCTTGAGTACAGGTGCCGTCCTAGGAAAGAAAAGAGTTTTCTCATGGACACTGTAGCATGGCAAGCTGTCATCATATAGAGCATTTATTTATTTATTGTTTACTCTACACCAGCCAGAGATGGTTAGTTTTGGACCTGGCACAGGTTGGGCATGAGTCATCTCCTGAATACAAGCAGGCAGCATTACATCTGCCTGTCATACTCCTCCTTTGCCAGGCGCTCTGTAAACATCGTTCCCTTCTAGAAGGTGGCCAATTTCTTGTTCCAAGGAGTGGAAAAAATCAGATGCTGACATTTGAGTGAAATTTAAAAATAAAATCAGGAAGGAAACCTGTGTGAGGTTTCTGCCTGTTTGCTTCTGAACACTGAAGATCAGAAATGCTTTTCTCTTGAACCAAGTGAATTAAAAAGGTAAACGGAGGCCAGGGGTTTCTTTTCAGACTGAGAGAAGTGGATGGGGGCTTGAGGACTACATAATCTTCAACATTCACAATGATCAATTAGTTAATCATTCATCATTTGCTGCCTTGTTATCTGGTGAGGCTGAAAGCCTGCCAAAATGCCAGAACTTTGGACATTCCACGGGGACAACAGCTGTGTTGAAGACAGAAAACTGGTAGAAAGCAATGAGGCTAAGGTGGGGCAGTGTCTAAACAAGGATGCATTGCGGATGAAGTATTGCAGATATGTTTCAACAGCTTGGTTTTAGAAAAGGAGTTAACCTCGTTAAAGCACTCTTTGGGTGCTTTGCAAGTTTTTATAATTATGCAGGCTACACATTGCTTCCCCCCCCCCACGGCGAGCTGGGTACTCATTTTACTGAGTTTGGAAGGCTGGAAGGCTGAGTGAACCTTGAGCTGTTTGGGATTGAACCCGGGTTGTGAGCAGAGTTTTGGCTGCAGTGCTGCAGTTGAACACTATGTCATGAGGCTATGTATAAACATTTGGCAGTGTGTGAACTGATCCAAACCTTAGGATTTGGCATCAGTACAGCATTTTTAATGTTGTAGTTCCACAGCCACTTCCCCCCCCCCCAAAAAAGAACCCCTCAGAATGATTATCTCCTTGGTATTTTTTTTTCTGAGAATATTTGCTCAGACCCATAACCTCATAACATGTTCCCCTGAAAATAAGTCTGGGTCATATAATAATTTTTGCTCCAAAAAACTCAATAGGGCTTATTTTCAGGAGATGCTTTATTTTTTTTTCATGTACAACAATCTACATTTATTCAAATACAGTCGTGTCATCTGGTTGCTGCCCAAGGGTGGAGGGCAGGGTTTCACTGAACTGGGGCTTATTTTGGGGGGTAGGGCTTATATGACGAGCATCCTGAAAAATCCTAGGTAAAGGTTCCCCTTGACATTCTTAGTCCAGTCGTGTCCGACTCTAGGGGTCGGTGCTCATCCCCGTCTCCAAGCCGTAGAGCCAGCATTTGTCCGAGGATAGTTTCCATTGTTGGGTGGCCAACGCAGCTATACACGGAACGCTGTTTACCTTCCCACCGAGGTGGTCCCTATTTATCTACGCACATTTACATGCTTTCGAACTGCTAGGTTGGCAAGGAGCTGGGACAAAGCGACGGGAGCTCACTCCGTTGCATGGATTCGATCTTACGACTGCTGGTCTTCTGACCTTTTCAGCACAGAGGCTTCTGCGGTTTAGCCCGCAGCGCCACCACATCCCTCCTGAAAAATCCTACTAGGGCTTATTTTCATGTTAGGTCTTATTTTCGGGGGAACAGGGTAGGAAGCCCTCTTAGGTTTCCAGTGGCCAGCCTGGAACAAAGCCCAGCAGGCTTCTTGTATAGTTAAGCCCAGAATAGAAATGGAAACGGGATCATTAGAGATAAAGAGACATATAAATCATGTTTTTGTTCCTCTGGTGTCCTTGTTGCCATGGTGCCGGAGAATGCTTTCAAAGAGCTGAGATGAATAAGATCTTCAGCACACAAAGACTCTCATGGTGGAAAGATGAGGGAACATCTCAAAAGGCACATGGCAGCACTAAGAGAACACCAGGAAGATTGCTCAGTCAACGTCAGGGCAAAAAACCCTTCAAAATCCTGTACGATGTGCCCACATCGTCCCCATGTGCCAGCTATGGGAGCATCTCTGTCCAGGTAGAAGTGTAAGGATCCTTCCTTCAGCCTTGACCTGCCTTTGGTGTATCCCACTTAAAAGACATGTGCAAAGGTTAACCCACAGCCGTGGTAGAACAGAACAGAACCCTCCAGCAGATCTACTAAAATTGGGAGCAGACAGAGTGGGATGAGCAATGGCGTCCCTCGGCCTGGAGTTCAAGGGAAAGGACATGTAGACTTAACAAAAAGATCTGAGATTATTAATATTTTGACATCTCAGGACCTGTCATTAGATCACAGCAGAATCCTGTTGCTTGGAGAGTTAGCAAATGGTCAAGAACACCCTTGTAGCGTTGACTAGAAAGCAAGTGCCAGCAGGAAAGACTGAAAGAACTGGGCATGTTTTAGCCTTGAGAAAAGAAGACAAGAGGGGAGAGAGGAGGGCACTTTTCAAAGACTTGAAAGGCTGTCATCCAGAAGAAGGGGGAGGATCTGTTCTTCATCATCCCAGAGTGCAGGACACACAACCCATGGGCTCAAGTGATAAGCAGCCAGATTTAGGCTGAATATCAGGGAAAACGTCTTAACTGTGAGAGCGGTATGACGATGGAACCCATTCTCTCAAGAAGTGGTGAGCGCTCAGGGTCTTTCATTTCAGTTCCTGGGGCTGGAACACAAATTAAGACTTTACTGAAAACGCAAACCATTCCAAAACCATTCCTCACCATCATTTTGAATTATAATTTGAGCCAACTTGGGCTGTCGATTTGGAGGAAAAGGCAGGACAGTGATCAAATCCATCAGCCAAATACATTTGAAACAGGAATGCGTTTAACGCCTGCCTTTTCTTTATGCCCCACTTCCAGGTTTCTCATGAGTTCGCCATCAACTTCAACCCGACCAACCCATTTTGCCTCGGTAAGTGGATGTTTGTTGTGATGATGGTGGGAGGCTCCAGAGATGCCCAGTCTTTTGAGAGATACAGGAAGAGTTACTTGAACCAGTGACCACAAACCCTATCCATGCTGCTAAAGAGAAGTAACTCAAAGAAAGGGCCCAATCATCGCCATAGATTCACAAGGTTTATAAAATAAACTCCCTTATCTTGCAAACACTAAAATGCCACATAAGTCCCAGTGGCATGTGATTAAGACAAAGATGACCTAGGTTTACCTAAGAAAAAATTTCTACTAATGAAAAAGTAGAATTTTGTTGATTTAAACCAGCTTACGGGCATGAACCTACCCAGGGATTAAGATCCTCGGGAGAGATCTTCCTCTTGGCCCTACCACCTTCACAGGTGTGTTTGGTGAGGACACGGGAGAGGACCTTCTCTGTGGCTGCCTACAAGGGAAAGGCACTCTTGGAGATAAGCTGGAACCCAAGCCATTTAGGGCCTTATCCGGTAGAACGAACACTTTGAGTTTTAGGGGAGAAGGGAATTTCAGAAGGACTGTCCAATCAAAACAGGCTCACCGTGGGACAGAAGAGGGGACCCCCCCCCGGATTTCTGTACCATGGGGAGCCTGCCACTAAGGTCCCCCGTGTTGTCTTCTTCTGCTTTAAAGGTGTAGACGGCATCGTCCAAGCGTACTCTGCCTGCCTGCCCCACATACGCTTCTACGGGCCCACCAACTTCTCCCCCATCATTAACCACGTGGCGCGGTTTGCAGCACAAGCCACCCAGCAGGAATGTGCCACCGTAAGTGTCCGGCGGGGGGTTCTCTTTTTGTTGGCTCTCTCGGGACAGGGAGCAAAAGCGCTTGGCGTCTTGCAACTGGCTGGGAGCAGAGGCTCGTGGAAAGAGATACCCTCCACCACCACCACCACCTCCTCCTCCTGGGGGATCCACCCTTGTTGTGGCCTGACAGGACGGCCCCGTGCTGGGCTTGGAGGATGGCTCATGCTAGATTAAAGGCTTCCAAAACCAGCTGATAGAAAGAGAAAAGGGTCATTGCTAAATCAACGCAACAAGCAGGAGAGAATTTTTCTGCGAGTATGGTCTCTGGCTACGGAGCCAGAGGTTGGAGAGGTTCGATTCCCCACTCCTGTGTCTCCCGGGAGAAGAACCAGCCTGGGTGGCCTTGGGCCAGCTGCACACAGTCCCAGGTTTTCCCCAGAAGAAGGGAACAGGGAAACTACCTCTGTGAATTCTTTAAAAACTCTGAAAACTGACTTGGTGGCACATAGTTATTAGCTGGCTGGATAGTTCCGTGAATTAGGTATCTGGCTGCAAAGCCAAAGGTTCAATTACCCGCTGGGCCTCTGGGGAGGAGAGCCAACCTGGGTAGCCTTGGGCAAAAGCTGCACAGTCCCAAAGCTGCCCCCAGAAGGGAAGGGGAAACCATTTCTGAGTTGTCTGTAGCTGGAAAACCCCTGAAAAGGGCTGCCATGGATCAGAATTAACAGAATGGAATACAAAGGTCATTATCGTTCTATTAGGGACCTGGAGGGACTAGCCTTAGATCAATATCTGTGTTGGCCCACACCACATCTATTATCCCACACTATTGGCCCTCTTGATGGGGCTGATGGCAACTGAAGGCCAACATCCGTTTGGGCACTGTGCCTCCCTGTCTTAGGCCATGATTCTTTTTGTGAGACCCGGCAAGCTGCAAAGATGTTCTCTCTTAAATCTGTGGAATAATGAAAGGCACAAGTGAGGGTTTGTTGGTTTGTTTTGGTTTTGAGTTTATATTTAGACATCAGCTGTGGGCTATTGCATGACCCACAAGGAGGCAACTGCAACCCGGGCGCCCCCCCTCCCTCCTTCCCCTCTCACCGCAGGGAGGAAGCAAGCTCAGAGGCAGGCTGAGCTGCCTTCATTTGAACCGCCTGTCCGTGATTGGGCACCATCATGGCCACACCATGCTTAATGCATCCGTACAAATCATATCTGCGTGCAACAATGCATCTATTAGGGAAGGTTTTGTACAAAAAAAAAAATGACAGGATCAGAGCAATTTGCAGACAAAGAGGAACATGAATGTGGCACTGTAAAAAATAATTAACAGCCCATAGAAGGAACGAGAGGCTCAGATGCAAAAACAGAGACAGATCTGTTTCCCCTTTGTGTGGAGAAGCCCTCCCTGAGCAAATCGCCGGGAGCTCAGAAGGGGGGCTTTGCCCCAATGTCTTCATCTTTGCTCTGTACCCTCTTTTGAGGGAGGCTGACCCCCTGCTCTGATCACGGGCGCTGTTCTCTGGGCTTGCCAAGTTCCAACTGTGGAGTAATGGCGTGGCTCAGAAAGGATCCATGCTCAAGATGCTTTCTAGGCGAGAGACATCCCAGTTTCAGCCCCTACTATTTATTTTTTATTTATTGGATTTATACCCCACACCCTCTGGCAACCAGGCTAGTCTGGGCGGCTACCAGATCAACTTCCTCCACCCCCCCTTTTCTTTGCCCCGGGCCTGACGGCGTCCCCTCCCTGGCTTCCTCCCTCCAGCAATACTTCATCCTCTTGATCCTCACCGACGGCGTCATCAGCGACATGGACGAGACGCGCCACGCCGTCGTCCAAGCCTCCAAGCTGCCCATGTCCATCATCATCGTCGGGGTGGGGAACGCAGACTTCGCCGCCATGGAGTTTCTCGACGGGGACAACCGCGTGCTCCGGTCGTACACGGGAGAGGAGGCCGTGCGAGATATTGTCCAGTTTGTGCCATTCCGTGAATTCCGCAGCGTGAGTACGGAAAGTTTGGGTTCGGACGGCAGGGTGGGAGGCGGTCCTGGCCCGTCTCCAGGAAAACGAGCCTGGCTAAGCTGCTTCTCTCTAGGAGGCCAAGTACAAGCACCCAGCTGCTGTCCTGCAAAACATACCCTCCCGTTATTTCCTAGTTTTATTCTTCCCATAGGAGAGCTGGAATGCACACAGCATCCTTTAGGGATAACCGCGTGAACCCGCTACTTGAGTTTCCAGCCTTTAGAGGTACACAGCCCTAAGGAGGCCCAACCGTGTGCTATTTACAAGAAAGGGTTGTTTACTTTGTCCATCGGACAAAATGCCCAGATTTCTAGTGCTGGAATGTAAGAAGGGCCATTTCTTGGGTTCTGCGATGCTATGGATCAGATTCACCAGCACAAATGAATGGGTTTGCCTTCTGAACTCCTAGCTGGATTCTCGCAATATCCGGACTTCATGAAAGCTACTAGGACGAAGCTCTTTCTCTGCTCTTAGACTGCTTTTCAGACCAAAAAATGTGGTGGTGGTAGTGGTGTGGACAGGACATCCGAAGTGGCTTCGTGCCTCTCACACTCCTTCATTTGGAGAGGCAGTCAGACGACACGGGCTGAGGTCCTCTCCCCAACCCGGTTGCATGGAGCTTGCTGGATTGGGCTGAGGTCTTCCATGCGCAGGAGCTGGTCTTTCAAGTCCAGTGGGCCTCTCGGGGACCCCTTCCCAGTCGCTCATTATCTGGGCAAGACGAATGCTTTCAGGGGTGGAAAGTGGGAAAGGTGCCAGCTAAAAAGGAGGAATGGGATGGGGCACCAACAGGGCAGAGGCCACACATGGACGGCAGGACACCGGTCCCACAAAAAACATGCCGTTGCGCATGGCCTTCGCACCTCGGCACTCAATTTGCAGCTAGACGGGTGAAGCCAATTTCCCTAGAGAAGTTTTGGGCCATGATCCTATTGCTAATGTCCAACTTGAGCAGACTCATTCCTAATGAACTGTGAAAGGCACATCAATTGCGGTGTAGATTCGACCCCATCGATGGGTCAACTGCCCAACTAGGACCGGCAATAGGATCCCTATCCAGGCTCCCCAACACCCCATGTCCATCCGTTTGTGGGGAGCTGCCTTACCCCTGTAGTGGCTTCTTTGGTCAGAGCCATTCTGCTAAAAAAAAACCAACAGCCATCATTTGACAGGTGTGGGAATGTACAGCACAGCCTTTCCTCACCTTTGGCGTTCTTGCGTTTCAGGCGCCGAAAGAGACGTTGGCCAAAGCCGTGCTGGCCGAGCTCCCTCAACAAGTGACCCAGTACTTCAAGCATCAGAACCTGCCGCCCATAAACTCTGAGCCTGCCTAGCGAAGGACCCGGTGCTTTACCTGCACGTACCCTGCCCGCATACACACACACACCTGTCAATGACCGGTTTGCATGTCTCATGTGATTTCAGACCGTTTGTACCTTCTATTTATATCATTTATTTTAACTTAAAAACAACCACAAAAACAATACAATCCAGACCTCCCCCAAAGATGCAACTTGGAACACCAGAAACCTCTAGTCTATGCTTAAAATTAATCCCCCCCCAAAAAACCCCACCCAGATGGCCATGCTGAACATTTCTCCTCCTTAAAACTTCAAGAAGCAACATTTAAGTATGTGAATGTACTTTGTATTTTTGTGGAATGAAAACATTTTTACAACCAGGATTCCCCCCCCCAAGCCATGTGACGCTCTTTCTCGCTCCATGCCCAAAGAAAAGTGGACAGTTCATGGATGTATCGTATTCGTATTTCTCATGTTCTACGTTCATTTTTATACTGTGTACTTGTTTAACATTTGTTATACTCAGGTTAATAAACAAACATGGACTCTTTGCAGCTTTATGGACCCCCCTCCTGTCTCTTCCACCCTCTGTTGTCCAAAGTTTAATATGTGATGTAGGGGATACTGTCTGATACAAGAGTCTACTGCAAAAAAATGTTTGCAGATCTCCCCTTCCCTCTTCATTTCTGCTATCTCCCCCTTTGGGCACCTGGAACGGAAGAGGCATTCCAACTAACACCAGTTCCACACTTACAGAACAAATTTCCTACCAGCCTTCTCCGATCTGGTACTCTCCGTGATCTGGCGAACCATTTCTAGCACCCCTGCTGATCTCCACCAACCATTACTTTTAAGTAAGTAACAGCATTTTGCACCATGCTTAACACATTATCTCCAAATTCTGGCTCTCTTCTTCGAATCTGTTTAACCCCCTTTAAAGAGCCAGTGGAGAGGACAGAGCATGGATTGCTTAAATCCAAGAAGGTATACCAGCTTGACTATGCAGAAAAAGCATATATTTGATTCTGAGTGCAGGATATTGAACCCCTAAGCCTTCTAAACTCATTATTTTTAACCTGCAATCTACTCTGCCTGTCCTGTAGCAGCCAACATGACTGCCAAAGCCACAATGTTAAAATTTGGATATTAAAAATAATAGCACTCTGGATAAAGGTTCTTCACTCTTGAGCTAAAGATAAAAATTGCTGGAATAGGTCTGTGATACACAGTTCTCAGGAATACGGTCCCATTTGATACAAGTTGAGATGCCAGGAATTTTTGCTTCCAGTTATGAAGCCGTGGTTGCAGGTTTCTGGACCAATCTCCAGAATGGGACCAAAAGACCATTGAAGAAAAAGGGCTCAGCGTTAAATATTTGACTACGGACTGGATAAGGAGTGCCATGTACAGATCGGTAAGTCATGGCTTTTTATAAACCATGCTGACTTAGAAGTTCTAGACACCAGTGGTTCCCAACCTTGGGACACCCAGATATTCTTCGACTACAACTCCCAGAAGCCTTCCCCACCAGCTATGCTGGCCAAGATTTCTGGGAGTTGTAATCCAAGAACATCTGGGGACCCGAGGTTGGGAACCACCACTGCTCTAGACACTAGTCTTAAAAGGTTAACTTCTCCAAGCCTGGAAAATATAGATACACCTGTGTTCTGTTAATATATTCAATAGCTCCAAAAGTACATACAACTATTCATTTTTAGAAAGCTATGTAGGAACTATGGGCTTATTGCTGCTTTTTACCACTAAATCTCCACTGTCAGTGTCCACAGAGTTCCTCAAAACACCCGCAGCAACCCGGGCCCTTCAGATAAGATCCATCAAAGGCATCTCAGTCGGAGAGAAAAATCACTAAGGGCAGCAGGAAGACTGAATGAACAATTATGAATGACAAGACTGAAGATATATTTTTTTAAAAAATGCATTCAGGATTTCTTTAATCATATACAACACTAAAACTCTGTTAACAGTATCATGACAATCTGCATCTTGCCATCTGCTTGATTTTTTTACTTCCTCTCAATTAGACATGAAAAATGGTAATTGAAACTAAAAAGAGCACCGGGCCATGTGCTCACACTTGGCAGACATCTACTTCCCCCCCTCTCAAAAAAAGCAGGCTCTTCTGTAAAACCAAAGCACAGCAACCCCCACGAAATCTTTTAAAAACATGACAGCTCAACCATCTTTATTGTGGACTCTCAACGATTCATGCTTCCCTTTAAACAGGTAGATTTCCGGAGGAAAATTCACTGATCAACGATCCAAAGTCTGTCTCCTAAGGAGGATGCTGTTTTAGAGGGGGGGTTGGCAGGGAGGAGGAAAGAGAGGGGAAACTCACAAAGAGAGATTCAGGACATTTTGTTGGTATTCTCTGGGGGTGGGGTGGAAACAGACAGGTGAAAACTTGTGAGGTTGGAGTATGCCCAGTATGATGAAAACCATGTGGTTTTTTTTCCTTTTAAAAGTTCCACCTGAGCCTCTGACTAGCTGGGGAGAATCCTACAGCGGGGCATCAAAGAAATTGCTGCCCCGAAAAACAGACGAGACGATTTTGCCGGTGGAGTTGATGGTCCCTTCACTGTCCGAGCTAGACTCAGAGTCGCTGCTTCCCGAGTAGGCCCCCAGGCCGGGCAGGATCCCGATGCACACAGCCGCGGAGGGGCAGTGGAGGGTCGAGCCGCTCACGGAGCCACTGCCCAGCGGCATGCAGGATGGCTGCTCTGAAAGAGGGAAAGGGGGAGAAAAGGAGAGGCTATCACTCAAGACGAGGAGCAGCTATTAGAAGGCACATATCTGGTTTTACATTCCATGAACTATCTTGATGGGAGCAGCAGCAGAAAGGGAGAAAAGGAGAGGCTATCACTCAAGACAAGGAGGAGCAGCTGTTAGAAGGCACATATCTGGTCCATGAACTATCTTGATGGGAACAGCAGCAGAAGAGCTGCAAAGACTCAACAGCTTGGAGCCCTGCTGGCAGTCCTCGACAAATCCCTTTGCCCAAGCAAAGCGAAAATGACATGGCATGTTGAAAATGACATAGATGGAAGAAGCGTCAACAAACCCCAGCGAGCACTTGAAAGAGTGACAAGCCCTGCAAGGGAACGTGGACAGCCCAGCTTCCGCAGTTAATTAACTTGGCTAACGTTGGAAGAGGGGGATTAACGGAGCAGATGGAGAGCCAAGATGCGCCTGAGACTGGAGTGGTACAACTGCTCGGTTAACGCTTCCTCTCCGGAAGTGAAGACTGAAAATTTGGCTCCAGTACAGTCACAACGAAGGATATCTATTCCAAATGGATCCTTTCTTCTGCCACTTTCCCCGCAAGTTCACCTGGAGAGGAAGCTTTCCCACCGAGGCACAGAAAGGGTCACCACCCCCCACCACTCCCTCGCTTATGACTTGGAAGAGGAAGGCGAAAGAGGGAGAAGCTGCCTTCCCGGAGCCCCTCAGCCTTCTCCACCCCATCTGACGCACCTGGAGCCTTGTCGAGGTCAGGGTCGGAATCAAGCTTCAGCCTCTTCACGCTGTTGGCACCGTCGGAACTGCAAGGAAAGGCAACAGCAAAAAGAGACGGCAGCTTCAGGGGCCATGCTTTGGGAGAAGGTTCCCCGCCTGCCCTTCCCCGTCGTCCCTGCTTTACACAAGGCTGGAGGGTCCCCACCTCCTTTCGTTGGCCTTGGTAACCGGCCAAAATTTTATGCCCTCCCAGCTCCATCTGGGCTGAAGCTTGGAAACTCTTGGAAACTGCTGAAGCTCCCAGGGGTTATGATGATGGGGGGGGCGCACATTGGACAGGAACCAAGGCAGTTTCCAGCCACACTGAATTCCCTACTGAGGACAGGAGGGAACCTTGCCATGGCAAACGAACTTGATGCCCATAAGCGTGATGGGCCTTTGGCAGGTAAGGATCCACCACGTTTGCGTGGTGAACCAGCCAGGATCATATGCAGAACACGAGGAAAGAGAGAAAATGTTTCTATTTAGCCAATTGTGTACAACTCTTAAGATATTATCTTGAACACTAAAGCTTTCTGGATGGGTCGCCACTGGAGATAGGGGCCATTCCAATCGGAGGCAGCCCTGACTCAAAACAGACAGATGCATTCACCCCTTTTCCAATGAATTACGACAGAAGGTGTTGACATCTTCAGCTCCCCATCACCCCTTACTCCCTTCCCAGATCAAGCTCTGCTACTGCCTGGCTTCTCCTTAGAGGAGAAAAGGGACATCTCATCATTGCTTCAATTGGAAACCAACCGATTGCTTGTTCCCTTTAGCAGCTTCTGAAATCATCAGCTATCCCCATCACCCAGAAGCTATCCTCCTGGCAAGGAGCACTGTCAGCTCCAAGGCCAGAGAAATGGCAACAGGCTTGACGTTCTAGATTCCAATCAAAGGTCACCAGATTTTCCATTCGGGAGAGTTCAAGCTGCAAACCTTGCCTCGCTCAGAACCCCAGGAAGCGGCTTTAGAACTCTGCTCCCAAATTCGCGTGGGTGGAACTACCAGGTTACCTTCTGTGTTTCACAGCTCCCGCCAACAGCTTTGCCTGAGAGAACTTGCTCTTGTTTTCTGTTGGTTTCGCCGGCAATTTCTTCTCTGCTTCCTTCTTCAGGTCAGCCTTTGCCAAAGTGCTGTGAATTGAACGTTAAGGATCGGAGGAAACTTAAAGGACAACTCACGTTAGACGGCAACGTAGAGATTAGGGATTTGAGGGGGGAGCTCTATGGTGCCATCTTATGGACAACTTCACCACCAGAATCAGTTGTATCATCACACAGAAAACTTGTTAGTGTTTTGCATGTACTTTTAAACAGTTAACTTCTCTTCAGACTACTGCCATTCGTTCTAAATGAGCTGCAACCATCAGAACAAGGCAAACAAATTTATGCTCTTCGTCAGCAAAAAGGAAAACCCGTCTGAATTTGCAGGCTGTTGCTGAGGCTGAGAGGTTTCACAGCAAGGACTCCAATACAGCCAGAACAGAAAATCTGAAGAGTGGTTTAGAAACACCAGGGTTGGAGGGTAATTTTACATGGGAAACACGTGGAGACCAGGGTGAAAAAAAGAAGTGATGGAGACAGGAGAGAGGAAGAAGCAAGGCCAGGGCAAAACTGGGCAGACAGGTCAATGTATAACTTGGCCCATTATGAGAGATTCTTGTGGAAGGGCAGGCTACGGACGCATTTCCTTCTGAATTCACCATCCCTGTTGTGTGCCGAGAACAGAATGCTTACTAATCTGAAATACTGTTGTATGCACGCAGAAACAGAAAATATGATTTGGCCACAGTCACATCTAGTTACATCCCAACTGGATTACTGTAACCCACTGCATGTGGTGGTGCCTATGGAAAGCATTAGGAAAATTCAGTGGGTCCAAAATGGAACAGCCAGATTACTAACTGGGGCTGTTCACAGGGATCACGAACTCCCCCCACCCCTCAACCATTAGTAACCCAAGGATAAGAACCACTGCTGTAACACACTGCATGTGCTGGTGCCTATGGAAAGCCTTAGGAAAGTTCAGTGGGTCCAAAATGGAGCAGCCAGATTACTAACTGGGACTGTTCACAGGGATCACAAACTCCCCCTACCCCTCAACGTTACAGCAGCTCCACTGGCTGCCAGTCTGTTTCCGGACACAATTCAAAGTGCTGGTTCTAACCTATAAAGCTCAAAAAAAAAAAAAAAAAACAACAGACTGAGTCCAAGCTATCTCAGGGACCGCAACTCCCTTTATGAGCCTGCTCAAGTGTTAAAAAAATCAGGAGAGGTCTTTCTCTTGATCCCACCACCTACAGAGGTGCATTTTATGGGGATACGGGAGACGGCCTTCTCTGTTGCCGCTCACAGACCGTGGAACTTCCTCCCACTGGAAGTCAGCCTGGCCCCATCTTTGCTCTCCTTCTGCAAGCATTCAAAGACCTTCCTCTTCAGGCAGGGTTCTCCTTAGTGACTGGCTGCCGAATGAGGTTTTCTGTTGCTGCTCACAGACCGTGGAACTTCCTCCCACTGGAAGTCAGCCTGGCCCCATCTTTGCTCTCCTTCCGCAAGCATTCAAAGACCTTCCTCTTCAGGAAGGGTTCTCCTTAGTGACTGGCTGCTGAATGAGGTTTTCAAGATGGACTGTTGTACCTTACTGCTTTGAATGTGTTTTGGTATAGCTTGTGTTTTTGGTATTAGATTGGCTGAACCTTTTAGTATTATATACACACCATTATTAGCTTAAATACTGTCTTTTAATTGTTGTGAGCTGCCCTGTGTCCTTTTTGGACATCTGCCCTGGTCCCCTTTCCCTCTCAAATTGGAACCAGGACAAACTACATCAGTGCCAAGGATATTCTGTATTCTTTGAGTTCTTTGAGCTCCTCCTCACGATGCTGCTTTTCTATTAACACTTGCTGCCGGGAAACCTCATCAAGGAACTTCGACTCATCTTCGTCTAGGCCTCGGACCATGTTTTCTGCAAAAGACCAGAGTGCAGGCTTTGAGGAAAGGACAAGCGAAGAAGCCAATTCCACTCCATAGTATTTCTCTTCTGACCAGGTTGATGTTTCAGGGCAGAAAAGACAAGGTCTAGAAAAAGCTTAACTACAGTTACCCAAAGTCACAATATACTGCCCTGAAAGACGTGTGGCTTGGTGGTGAAGTGCGGATGCCATCTGCTTTCACGATTCACACTTTTGAAAGAAATCACACGTGGGCATCAAAGCCTAAAGACACTTCCCACAGGTCTAATATTAAAGCTAAGCCAACTTCGTCTTGAAGAGAGGTTGGCAGGGGTCCCCATCCTCAGGGAGATGTTGGGACTGAACCACTTTATATGGAAGGAGAAACCACATGATATGAACACTCTTCTGGACAAGGTGGCCCTTCTTTATACATAGAACATTAAAACTCAGGGAAAAGGATACTACAGTGGTGCCCTGCATGATGATGATAATCCATTCCATAGAAATCGCTGTTTAGCGAAATCATCGTCATGCGAAATCCGTTTCCGCATTGGAATGCACTGAAACCCGCTTAATGCGTTCCAATGGGGAAAATACCTCGTTGTTCTGTGAAGATCGCCCATAGGAAAGCCATTTTGCGAGCACCGATCAGCTGTTAAAATAGCTGTCTTGTGAAGCATGGGTCCCGAAAACAAAGGGAAGCCATTTTGCGGAGCCGCCAATCAGCTGTAAAAGTCGTCATCTTGCTAACAAACGGTTCGCGAAGCACGGACCAAATCATTGTCCAGCGAAAATCCCCCATTGGAATGACTGTTTTGCGAATCACTATAGCGATCACAAAACCTAATCGTCATGTGGATTCGTCGTTTTACAAGGTCGTTGTCTAGCGAGGTACCACTGTAATTCTTCTGCCCCAATATGCTTGTTTTCCATAGACCTGGGAAGCAACTGTGCAGGCCAAGGTACAGCTCTATGAAGGAATCAATCATTTTCCATTATGCCAGTCCCTTCGGAACCATGAGCTTATTCCAGCCCCTTTCCCAGACACTGCTAGGTTCTCATTTTAGAACAAAATTCTGCAGGAATGTGACGGATGTAAAAGAAGCAAAGACCAGAAGGCACAACGTCCCTGCATTGGGATCTACTTACTGAACTTGAACTGCTCTTCAAACTCCTGCTGCTTCTTGTCCTTCTGCTCCTGAAGTCTTTCATAGAGTGAGCGGTGATCATATTCTTCCTCCGGACATTCTGGAAGGGAAAGAATTCCATTTTATGTAGATTTATTTTGAAAAAGAACCATTCTGGCAGAGAACTTCCTCCCTGACGCCCTTTGGGAACCATAGCAATATGCTTAGAGAACTGGCAAGCCTCTGACCGTCTAAATGCTTACCTGGGAGTCAAGCAAGCATCGGATATCTGCACAGATCTTTTATATCGATTACCTAGAGGAGAGCTTTACCCCAGATGATCAGGCAAGTGGTCATTTCCAGGGCTGCCACCTTAGCCTCTCCTTTTAATTTTTCACAGATTGAACCAGACAACTCCTCTGTGGATTCGGAAATGCTTGGTTCAGCCTATGACTTCAAACAAACCACTCTCAGACAGCCTCACTGCTCACCAACCTGCAGTCTTGAGACAACCGTGCTGGACTATCACACAGGAAATGTACCCCAGATCATCATGCAGCCTTTTTAGGTCTATCTGTGGCAAAGGGAAGTAAGGCGCAGATACAAAGTCTCGTGCAGGGAAGAACTGGTAGCAGAGGCTAGTGCCGGAGAAAATGTTCGGTGGTCTATAAAAGGGAGCAACTTTTCTTGACAAATAGCAATGCCCCTGCAACACCCATATTCTAAGAATTTAAACAGAAAAGGATGTTCACACCATTCTTAGGACTACACGCAAATAGCTTAAGTTTAACAGAGAAGGTATACTTTAAATAACAAACGATCATCAATTATAGACATCATTCAGCAATTCCCAGGATAACTGTGAATCTCTGTTCTTTGGAAGGTTTTTTTTAATTTAGAAAGCAGGAGCGTTATATTTCAGAGATGCGTGGCAAGAGCCCCTACAGGTTTCACCTGGGTTTAGTTAACAAGATGCTACTTTGGGTTACCAATGACCAACGTTTCCTCTTGTTTTTAGCCCAGCTTGGCCGGATTCTGTGCCAGGTTCTGTCACGACTGGAAAGAAAGGGGCTGGAAACTATTGCTGTCAGTGCATGGAGGAGGAGGAAGGCTGCATTGGGGGGGGGGCAGAGCCAAAGGGGCTGGAAACTATTGCTGTCAGTGCACAGAAGAGGAGGAAGGCTGCACGGAGGGGGGTAGAGCCGCGCAGGTGCAAACCTTAGCGGGAATCTGGTCAGGTGATCTTCTGAACCCAGGCTCATGCCAGGATCTCATAAGAATAGGCTTCAGGTAGACCCTACTGCATCCTCCCTGCAGTTCCCAGCTAAGAGTCAAATACCTTCAGGGTCTTCTGGTTTCCGAACTTTCTCCCATTCTTCCTGCCTTCGCTTGCGACGCTCTTCGATCTCCGCTTCAGACACAAACCTTTTGTTAATCACAAGGTCAGCACTACCTTCTCCGCCATCCATTGTGATGCAGCCTGTGCAAAAAAAAAAAAAAGGTTTCAAACTGAGACTGTTCCTGCCTCCGGTATGGACGCGGCACTCAAGTACGGCATTTTAAAGTCTAATCATTGCTGAAAGAGCCCTAAAAAGGACTACAATATCTAATCCAGGGTGGGCAGAGGGTTTTTAGTACAGCTAGAGATGACCTGTAAGGATTTCTCACTCTCACGTTTGTTTAACAACAACTAAAGGGGTCTTTTTTACCTTTATACACCAGGCTGTTCTACTTAAGAAACCCTGGGAGAGAAAAGCAGGATTTTTGTGTGAAAGAACTTTAAACCAAGTTCTAAAGCTGAAAAGAAACCCTGTTCTGCCCGTGTGTTCAGAGGCACCTTTAACTATTACTCTGAAGTGATTTCTGTTGCTGCCTCAGCCACTGCTTGGCCCCTGGTTCTAGCGGCTTCAGTTTGCTTCAGGAGAATTTCAGGATAGAGACTGGATCTAACTCATTAATGTAACTCATTAATCCGCCTAAACAATCTAATAAAGCTACTTTGGACAGGCTGGTAAGGAACCTTTAATCCACCAGACAGCAAATTTTTAAAGCACAGTACCATTTCCAGCATAGTATCATTTCCATTAAAACTGCTTGTAAAATCTTAGGGTCAGAAAGCACAGTCTAAAGAATCCAAGAAGTGTCCTGATGGATCAGACCAAAGACTCCTTAGTCTAGCATGCTCTTTAGACACTGGGCATCCAGTTGCCTCTGAGAAGTCCCTGGCACATGAGATGTGCTTAGGCACGACATGTGCACACAGCTACTGATGCTCACAGGGACTCTCCCTTCGGCCTCAATCACAATGGAGCGTCTCTCTTCAAAGAGGCTGGCTGGAGTGGAACACCAAACCCACCCTTCCCCAGCTTTCACCTTAAAATAGTCATTTGTACAGTACTACAAATGAATATTTAATCAAAAGGCTGACTAAAACACCTAGGACTAATCAGCCAAGACCTCTTTGATTAGTTGAGAGTCTTACTTTAAAAGGTGCAAGCGGGATCCCCCTTCCAAATGGATGGAGGCGAAGATACTGTAGTAAGGTTGCCCAACCTTAACAGTCAGAACATGCGTGACACCACAGATGGTCAACCAGCAACGCATGCTAAAAGAGGGACAAACCGGATGTCTGGATGGCCTCCTGCTCCTTGAAAGCTTAACTTGTAAAGGCTGTGCCAATTGAGACCGTAGGACAAAACTGTGTACTGTCAATTCTGACTTATGATGATCTTTTCCAGGATTTTCCAGGTAAAGAATGCTCAGAAGTGGTTGACTTTTCCAGGATTTTCCAGGTAAAGAATGCTGAGAAGTGGTTGATCCTACCCTTCTTCTTGGGTTTGCTCTAGGACTGTGTGCAGCTTGCCCAAGGCCACCCAGGCTGGCTCTTCTCCCAGCAGGCCCAGTGGGGGAACTGGAGTCCCAGCCTCTGGCTCTGCAACCGGATGCCTAAACCACTGAGCTCTCCAGCCAGCAAGACTGTAGGACAGGGGTTCATATTATTAAAATACCTTTGTAAGCAAAGCCAACAGAAAACCAAGAAGATGCCAATCAAGTCTCCCCTTGGAGTTTAAAAATTTTTTAAATTTAAAACACGATTTAAATTGTCATTTAAAGAAAGCCTTCCTTCCTTGCAAGGGTGGATAAACATCAATGACTTTAAAGCAAACAACAACAACAACAACCCTTCCTTGCAAGGGTGGATAAACATCAATAACTTTAAAACAATAACAATAATAATTTAAATTGTGATTTAAATTGTGAACATTAAATCAATGTTCTTTTTTAAATATTGATTTTTATCTACCCTGCAAGGAAGGAAGAATGGTTTACCTATCATTTTGGCAGCAGCAAAACAGAAGCATAAATCCTTTACTGGAGTCACCATTTGCTTATTTCCAATGGACAACATATGGCAATTGTTGAGGGAAATTTTCCTTTCTTAAGTCACACACACACAAAAACAACAACCCACCTCCATGAACTGCCAGGGATGATGGCTGGCCATGGAAGCTGGACTAAACGAAGCCCATTCAGGGGATGATGGGAGGTGGAGTCCACCCCATAGGAGGGCACCAGCTTGGGGGAAAACTACCACGCAGGGCTGCTGTGAGCATTTTAATGACTTTCAGTTACTGAACTTTCAATTCCTGAAGGCGCTGGGCAAAAGTAACGTAACTACGAAACTCGTTACATTCCCTACCGTTCCTACCAAGGTGGTTTAACTGCAGAGGATGAGTAGTTCCAGAAGGACTGTTTCCCCTCCTTATGACCTCAGCCGCTCAAAGGCCTACAATCACCCTCACAAGCCGGGAGGCGTGACGGGACCCCCCCCCTCCGCCATGGGCCCCCCTCCTCAGCAGGGACGCCCGTTCCTCCCAAACCCACCTTTGTGGTCGGGGCCTCCGCTTCCCCGAAGGCCCGCCTCCCGGACCCTGGCCACCACTTCCGGCCGACCTCTTCCGTTCCGGGCCGACCCAATGGTAGAGCTTCATCCTTTCCGGACAGCCCCTCCTCCTCCTCCTATTGCGTCTGCCGTTGCACATAAAAAAAGAGATCCGCCCAACTATCGGGAGACAGGATTGGTTGGTTTGGGGAAGATAAAGCCCCCCCGAGGAGAGAGAGAGGGAGGGAGCTTCACGGCCTAAGAGAACCGCTCCAGGATTGGCCGAGCCGTGCTCCGGGAGGCGGGCAGAAGGGC